TCTGTTAAAAGTTTTTATCATGCGTGGATGTTGAATTTTGTTGAATGCATATGATCCTTTTCTTTCATTCTATTAATGTGATATATCACATTGATTTGCATATGTTGAACCATCCTTGCATTCCAGGGATAAATCCCACATGATCATGGTGAATGATTTTTTAATGTGTTGCTGAGTTCACTTTGCTGGTATTTTGTTGAGAATTTTTGCATCTATATTCATCAGAGATATTGACCTGAAGTTTTCTTTTCTAGTAGTCTCCTTTTCTGGTTTTGGTATCAGGATAATTCTGGCCTTACAAAATGGGTTTGTGAATGTTCTCTCCTCTTTGAAATATGGGAGTTTTAAGAAGGATTGGTGTTCATTTTTTAAAAAATATTTGGTAAAATTTGCCACAAGCCATGTGGGCCTGGACTTTCCTTTATTGAAAGATCTTTGATTACTGGTTCAATTTCCTTACTAGTAATTGGTCTATTCACATTTTTTTATTTCTTCTTGATTCAGTCTTCATTAGGTTGTATGTCTCTAAGAATTATTCCATTTTTTTTCTGGGTTGTCCACTTTATTGTCATATAGTAGCCTCTGATGATCCTTTGAATTTCTGTAGGATCAATTATATGTCTATTTTTTCATTAATAACTTTGCTGATCTGGATTCTTTCTCTTTTTTCCTTGGTTAGTCTAGCTAAGGTTTTGTCCATTTTGCTTATCTTTTCAAAGAAATAGCAGTTTGGTTCATCTTTTTCATTTTTCTGTTTTCTATTTCATTTATTTCTGCTCTAATATTTATTATTTCCTTTCCCCTGATAACTTTGAGTTCAGTTTGTTCTTTTTCAAGTTCTTTAAGGAACAGAGTTAAGATGTTTATTTGGGACCTTTCTTCTTTTTTTAAAAAAAAATTTTTAAAGTTTATTTATTTTGAGAGAGAAAACAAGTATGGAGGAGGGGCACAGAGAGAGAGAGAAAGAGGGAGAGAGAGAAGCCCAAGCAGGCTCCACCCCATCAGCGCAGAGCTGGACATGGGGCTTAAGCCCATAAACTGTGAGATCATGACTTGAGTCAAGATCAAGAGTCATGTGCTTAACCGACTGAGCCACCCAGGTGCCTTGGGGCCTTTCTTATTAATGTAGGTATTTATTGCTATGCACTTCACTCTCAGAACTGCTTTTGCTGCATTCTGTAAGTTCTGGTATATGTGTTTCCTTTTTTTATTTGTGCCAAGAAACTTTTTTATTTCCCTTTAATTTCTTTTTTGATCCCTTGGTTCTTCAAGAGAGTGTTGTTTAATTTCCATGAGTTCATACATTTTTCAGTTTTCTTCTTCTTGATTTCTAGTTTCATGCTATTATGGTAAGAAAAGATACTTGGTGTGATTTCAACCTTCTTGAGTGTTCTAAGACTTGTTTATTTAAAAAAATTTTTTTTAATGTTTTATTTATTTTTGAGAGAGAGACCGAGTACAAACAGGGGAGGGGCAGAGAGTGAGGGAGACACAGAATCTGAAGCAGGCTCCAGGCTCCGAGCTGTCAGCACAGAGCCCGATGCGGGGTTCAAACCCACAAACTGTGAGATCATGACCTGAGCCAAAGTCGGATGCTTAACCGATTGAGCTACCCAAGCATCCCTTCTAAGACTTGTTTTGTGGACTAACATATGATCTATCCTAGAAAATGTTCTACTTGTGCTTTAGAAGAATGTGTATTCTGCTATTGTTGGGTAGAATGTTCTGTATATGTGTGTTAGGTCCATTTGGTCCATAGTGTTGTTCAAATCTGCTGTTTCCCTATTGGTTCTCTGGCTGGTTTATCAATTGTTGAGAGTAGGGTATTAAAGTCCCCAATTATCATTATATTATTGTTCATTCCTCTTTTTAGCTCTATTAGTTTTTGCTTTATATATTTAGCTGCTCCAATATAGGGTGTATGAAAATTTATAATTGTTCTCTTTTTGATGTATTGACTCCTTTATCATTATATAATGACTTTCTTTTTTTTCTTACCATTTTTAGTTTGAGATCTGATATAAGTAAAGCTACCCCTGCTTTTGCTGTTTTCTGTTTTTGTTTTTGTTTTGATGAGTATTTGCTTGAAATGCCTTTTTCCATCCCTTCATTCTTAGCCTATGTGCGTCTTTAAGGCTAACGTGAATCTCTTCTAGGCAGCATATTGCAAGATCTTGGTTTTCTTTTTCTTTCTTTCTTTTTTTTTAATCCATTCAGTTGTTCTATGTCTTTTGGATAATTTTATCCATTTACATTTAAAGTGATTATTGATAGGTAAGGACTTACTATTGCCATTTTGTTAATTGTTTTCTGGTGGTTTTATAGATCCTTTGTTCCTTGTTTTCCTTTCTTTTCTTTTCTTTTTATTTTTTCTTTTCTTTTCTTTTCTTTTCTTTTCTTTTCTTTTCTTTTCTTTTCTTTTCAAGTTTATTTATTTTTAGACAGGGAGTGGGTGAAGGGCAGAGAGAGGGGGAGGATCCCAAGCAGGCTCCATGCTAAGCATGGAGCCTGACACAGGGCTTGATCTCATGACCATGAGATCATGACCTGATCTGAAACCAAGAGTTGGACGCTTAACCTACTGAGCCATCCAGGTGCCCCATTTTTCCTTGTTTCTTATCCTGCTATCTTTTTGTGTATTTTAATGTTTTTTTGGTATCTGTATGCTTTGACTTCTTTATCATGTTATTTGTGTAATTACTACAGGTTTTCCCCTTGTGTTTGCCATGAAGCTTATATAAAATCTTAAACTTATAACACCCTATTTTAAACTGGTAACTATATAGCTTCAATAGAAGTTCCACTTCACACTTTTACTTCTCCCCTTCACATTTTAGGTTATTGCTGTTACAACTTACATATATTTTATATTGTGTAACTAATAATAGATTGTTGTATTTATGGTTATTTTTGCTACATTAATTTTTTTAACTTTTAAGTTAGAGTTGTGAGTTATGTACCACTATTACCACATTGCAGAATCTAACTATGACTATATATTTACCATTACCAGTGAGATTTTGCTACCTTTTTGTGTTTTTTTTGATGTTAATCGGTGTTCTTTTACTTCTACTCAAAGCACTCACTTAGCATTTTTTTGTAAGGGAGTTCTGGTGGCAATGAGCTCCCTCAGCTTTTTTGCAGAGAGGAGGGGAGTCTGTATCCCTTTTTCATTTCTGAAGGACAGCTTTGCTGGGTGTGAAATTCTTGCCTTGAATTCTTTGGTCAGGTGAGGTCATTAGTTTTGTTCTGCAGCCAGGGGAAGCCATGGGCTGTGTTCTCTCGTTAGATTCCCTGGTCAGATAGGCTGAAGGCTATATTCAGTCATGACCTGGGCTACAAAGTAGATTCCCTGCTCAGGTGCAGCAGGGGAAGCAGCTCGAAAACTGGTGAAGCTCTTTGTTGTCTTAACACAAGCTGACCCACATCTGAAGTTTCCTGGATGAACAGGGCCATTGACTTTGCTGTACAAACTATTGGGTCTGTCTGCCATTCTCTCAGCTCGAGTGCCACTGGGCCACACAACTTTCAGGTGTTTTCACCAGCCCTTCTGGTTTTAGGGAGCTGGAAGGCACTTTCGTGGTGGGTGGGGCTGTGACTCGGCACCTTGCCTGGATGGGGGCAAACTAGGCTCTAGGGCAAGCAAAATTCCTCACTTGAGTATCCAAATCAGGCAGATCTGTATCACACTGAGTTTCCTGGTCAGAGTGTGCCTTCAACTTGGTTCTGTAGATGAGCAAAGTCGCTGTTTGGGGTTACTACTTGGGCACTGCAGATAGAAACTCAGTCTGCCAAGATCCCTGAGTGCTGGTTATTGCAAGCCCTTTCCCCCTTCTCTGTCATGGGTCCCAATGATTCCCCTGTAATCCCTGTGGTGTGAGATCAGAGTAGGGGCTCCCACAGAGTGACCCAAAATGCTGTGGGAGCTGAGATTCCCCCCTGGATTTTCTTTTCCCACAGGAGGAATCGGAGGCTCACGGAAGACCTCTCCACATAGTGTTGTGCTATTCTGGGGGAGGGGCGGTGTGGTCAATGTGTAGCTGCTTGTCTTATCCTCTACTGCAATCTGGCCTGGTCTCTGAGGTGCAGGGTGGGGCTTCAGCCTCATCTCCATGTTCTAAGATTATGTCAGTGGTGTCTTATTCTTGAATAGTTGATAGTTCTTGTGTGAGGAGCAAAGTCAGGAACAACCTATGTTACTGTCTTGGGAATATCCGTTGTCAGCATACTATTTTTAACTCCTAAAACATTATTCTTGCTCTGCCTTTGAGGTAGTTGTGGGATTCTAGGAAAGCCTTTTCACTTCTCCAGGATTTGCATTCTCATTTCTAAACTGATTTTGACTGAATGGCCTTCAAAGCCCCTCTGCAGTTCTTACATTTTATGATGTAACATAAACATTAAGAAGTGAGTATTGTGTTGGGCTTGTAGTGCAGGTGGATGCAATGTTTTCTGTGGTTGTACGTGGCCTACTGTGTATGGGAATGGCCGGCTCCAGTCAGAAGAGGGTCTCACTAAGATTCTGGAGTCTGCAAGTTCACGTAGCCTCATTGGTTGGAGAAACAGCCAATATATGGCAGTGGTTCGGAGCTCACTGGACCACGGTGGACATACAGACAAATGCCGTCTCTTCCTCAGTGTGTGACATTGAACTTCCTCCTTAAAATCTCCTGTGTCAAGTGTGGATGATAAAAGTACCAACTCTGAGGGGCTGATGGGAGATTAAAAGAGGCACTATTTATTTATTATGTGTTTGTTTTTTTTTTTTAACGTTTATTCATTTTGAGAGATGGAGTGTGAGTGGGGGAGAGACAGAGAGAGAGAGAGAGGGAGACATAGAATCAGATGCAGGCTCCAGGCTCTGAGCTGTCAGCACAGAGTCCGACATGGGGCTCGAACTCATGAACTGTGAGATCATGACCTGAGCTGAAGTGGGACATTTAACTGGCTGAGCCACCCAGGCGCCCCCAAAGAGGTACTACGTACATGCATGACATGGTTCCTGGGATGTAGTACATGGTCACTAAAAGTTTACTGTCCTTGTTCATCTGTGTAGATCATCTCATAGATGATCTGTGTGGTTCCAGCCAGCTCTAAACAGCTGTAACTTTTATGGCGTTGTGGAAAATACAGTGGCAGATGACCTCCAGGAAGTTTAGTTGGCTGGAGTTTGGAGAATGAGGCCAAAGATCATACGAAAGCTTCAAGCCTGTGATAATGGTAAATGCTATTTTTGAGTTATGATACATTTACTGACATAAGGGAGACTTTTTATTAAACATCCCTCTTGTTCTGGAATTACATTTATATTTTTCTGGGAGGTGGGGGAAGCCAGGGAAGTATTCTGTGATGCCCCCTTGCTAGAGGCTAAAGACTTGGGGCTATTAACCTATTAGAAATGCACTGCCTGAGGAAAATGGTTCCTTTTGTAAAATCTGAAATGATTGCAAAGGATATAAGGTCGTATCTGGGCGCTGATGGGGAAGAGGTGCTTGCTCGGGGCTGTGCCTGGCCTTGCTCACAGCCTAGCTCTGGGTCCAGAGTCCACTAGCCCGAGGCTCTTAGCTGGATGTGCTTACAGAAGACTGTCTTTGACTTGTGTGAGTGATTGTCCTGGGTGCCCTGGCCTGGACTCTGATCGTACGAGAACATCACTGGAAACCTTTGTAACTCTCTCCAGCCTGTGACTCAGCTTAGCACGGCGCCTCTGGGGCAGGACGGTGAAAGGTAGCTTCGTGTGTGGACTGGTGTGGCTGGACTTGGGAGGCCGCCTAGCAGAAGAAATGAGTGATTGTAATGGCGCACTCTGAAACCCAATGCACAGAAACCGTCTATTATGGGGCTCTTGCGTTTTACTGTGACGTTTGGCCTTAACTCTGTTGTATCACACGCCCTGACTTTTAGGAAAAGAGAGCCAGTGCAGTTTAGAATAAGCACCATAGCTGGTATATTTAACTGGGACATTGCATTTTAAAACCCTCTCTGCCTTGTCTCACCCCTCCCTCGCATTTCCTTCTCAGCGAGCAGTACCAATGTTCGTTTACCTTTTCGGGTTTTGGAGCGTCTCTGTTGGCTCTGGAGTTACCACAGTATCTGTAAGACAACATCATCAGGCACAGGGCAAGACTGCTGATTAGTGAGATCAGTGATATGATTGAAGGCATATAGATGAGTAATATCTTAAAACATTCAGTTATTCATTTTAAGCCCATTTAATCAAGGTACAATTAAAACAGAAGTTGGGAACTGAAATTAAAGAAGCCAAAATAAATCACGTTTGACCCTCAGCTCCTACCAGTGACTTTTTATGCGTCAGTCTCCAAGATCAACTGCATGTCACGTCTCCGGGGCGGCCTGCTTACACTGATGCCACACCCTCCAATTCCTGCCCCTACATGTGTTCAGTGGTCAAGCAGGACGTCTTCCGTGTTATCTCTGCCACCTCTGACGTACCTGGGCTTGTGCGTGGCTCAGGTTTTGTTCCGGTCACAGTGATCTATTCATTGCTGCAGTGTGGCTTCCAGGCTCCTTTCTGGGTTGGAACTGTCCACCACAGACAGCATGAAGTCCAATCTGCAATGTGGGTTGCCTGCCTGGGGGTTGGCTCTCAGCTTGCACTGGCCTTTGCACACATGTCCCTTTCTGACTTCTGACTGCTGACCTGCCTCCACACTCGGCTATGCCCCTGTCTGTTGGCATCTGTGCTCCTTGGGTCCGGTGTGCTCCTGGCCCTGGTTTGTCCAGACACTTTCTGGTCCCTGCCTTCGCACCTCATCTCCTTTATGTGTCACTGTCTCTGTGTGATGACCCCACAGACCAATCCCTTTCACCCCTAATTGTTTTCACAAGATGCTGCCTTAGATTCTCTGCTGGCTCTCCAGATTACTGGCTGTGTCACGGAAGAACCCTGGGCTGGAGTCAGACTTTAATCCAGGCTTTCTACTTGCTAGTTGTGTAAACTTAGGTCATGTGGCCTCATTCATTGTGTTTTTTCATCTGCAAAATGGGAATAATGACAACAATAATGGTACCTACTCCGCTTACCTTAAAAGTGATTACTAGAACTGAGGCCGGGCATATTTTTGGATTTTTATTTGCTAGCCATATACTTTCTCTGGGGAAGGAACCTTTCAAATCTTTCACCCATTAAAAAAAAAAAAAAACTGGATTGCCTTCTTTTATTGAGTTTTTAGAATTCTTTACATATTCTAGATAGAAGTCTTTTACCAGATAAAGGCTTTGCAAAAATCTCTCCCAGACTGTGCTTCCTGCTTCATTCTCTTAATAAGATCATTGGAGCAAAAGATTTTAGTTTTGAAAAAGTTTAATACATTATCTTATGAACATTATTTTTCCTTTTGTGTCCTGTTTAAGAAATCTTTGCCCACCCAAATGTGTATTGCAACTGTGTTTTTTTCCTAGAAGTTTTATAATTTTTGTTTTTATACTCAGGTCTATCATTCATCTTGCATGCATGGGTGTGTGCACGTGTGTGTGTGTACATGTACCATGTGAGGTCAGGGTTGAAGGTCATCATTAATCATTAGTAAAATAACCACCATTTGCTATCACTACATAACCATAAGACTAGATAAAATTAAAGACTGACCATACCAAATGTTAAAGATGATTTGGAAGAGTTGAAACCTTATACTATCCTGTTGGGAATGAAAATGCCACAACCACTGTGGTAAACAGCTTGATAGTTGCCTCAAAAAGTTAAACATACACTTAAACTAGCTGTATAGGTATTTACCCAACAGAACTGAAAGCATATATCCCTGTAAGACTGACACATGAGTATCTACAGCTGTTCTATTTGTCATTGCCCCAAACTGGAAACAACTCAAATGTCCAATTCGTAAGAGAATGGATAAATAAATTGTGGTATGTCTATAAAATGGAATACTAGTGAGCAACAGCCTGGCTGAATCTCAAAATAATTATGGTGAATAAAAAGACAAATATTGTGCAAGTTCATCCAAATAAAATTTTAGAAAATATAAACTAATCAGAAAGCAGATTAGGGTTTGCCTGGAGTTGGGGGCGGGGTCAATGTGGAGTGATCATGAAGGGGCATGAGGAAGGTTTGTGGGGGTTATGGGTACATTCACCACCTTGAATGTGGTGATGGTTCCACAGAACATACATATGCTTAAAAATATGCAGTTTATTGTATATTGATTATCTTACTAAAGTTATTAAATGGGAAAATATTGGAATAAGTATCCACCAATGTGACAAAAGTGGGGAGATCACAAGTCCCCAGTGAGATAATGCCCAGGAAACTGCATTGATAGCCTTAATCTGGTGTAGAAATGCTTATTGTCGTCATTTGTCTGTGCCACATAGACTAGGAAATTTTCCAGTAAGGGAAGTAGACCAGTTTCTGGGGGCCCTCAGAATTTAGTTTTCCCAACCCCACCCAGTGGAAAATGTCAAGTTGATATTAGAACACATATGACTGGACAAACGATTGCACCCTAGGACATTCAGACCTTTCTCTCAGGCTTGACTATATCCCAGCCCCCTCATCTCCGTCTCTCACTCCCAATGAACAATAAAATGGTGGCTTAAAGTGCAGGGGCTCACCTGCATTTAGGAGTTCTGGACCCGGCTGTATAGCAGAATTACAGAGAAACTTTTGGGAAATGTTGGTGCCTGACTTTGTACCTGGAGATCCTCATTTACTTGCTCTGTATTCTTTTTTTTTTTTTTTTTAATTAAAAATTTTTTTTTCAACGTTTATTTATTTTTGGGACAGAGAGAGACAGAGCATGAACGGGGGAGGGGCAGAGAGAGAGGGAGACACAGAATCGGAAACAGGCTCCAGGCTCCGAGCCATCAGCCCAGAGCCTGACGCGGGGCTCGAACTCCCGGACCGCAAGGTCGTGACCTGGCTGAAGTCGGACTCTTAACTGACTGCGCCACCCAGGCGCCCCAACTTGCTCTATATTCATAAAACTCCCCAGGTGATTCTGGGTGATTCTAACGTGCAATTAGAATTGAGAAGAACTCAAGTGGAGCCTTGACCCTGTACCATCACTTGCTCACCCCTGTGGCTGTGTCATTTCCAGCTCATTCTGTGCATCTCTAACTTTCTGTTCAGTGTTAGAAAATAGGCAGAAGCAATTATGGTGATGATGATGATGATGATAATGATAATAATAATAATAATAATAAACATTCAGATAGTGCTTGGCCTTTTTTCAAAGAATTTCCATGAGCATTTTCTCATTGTGTCTCATAAATAACCTGAGAAGTAGGTAAGAGAGAATGATATAATTTGTAATCCTTATTGTCTTTTTCCCAATTAATTATAAATGCAATAAACAGTCACTTAAAAATATTTTAGAAAACAAATATGGAAAACTATGAATAGAAAAAAATCATCTGTAATCCAGCCTCTCAGAGAAAACCGGGGTCAACCTTTGGTTTCTTTTAACATAGATAAAATTATGCACTTAATTTTTTTTTAACAGCATTGGCCACAAACTGTACCAGAGTTTTGTGACCTGATCTTTTCACTCAATACATTATTGAGAGTAACATTTTTAATGACTATTTTCTAGACACTGCATGGAAACATGATTTATTTAACGAATTCCCTATTGTTTGATAGCTTGTTCCAAGTTTTCTGTATTAAAAATAACTGTATCCTTATGTGGAGTACCTGGAACTCTCATATACTTCTAGTGAGGGTAAAAATTCATACCACTACTTTGGAAAATGTCAGATAATATCTACTAATGTTGAATATGGGCATACCCTATGACTCAGCAATTACTCTCCCAGGTATATATCCAGAAGAATGTGTACAGTGTTCAGCAAAAGACAGGTACAAAAGTATTCATAGTTGCACTTCCAGTTATGGCCCTGGCTGGAGACAACTCAAATATTCCTTAATAATAGATGCATAAATTGACTGCAGTATTCATGCAAGGGAATACAATATAGCAAGAAAAAATGAAGGAATTGCAATGGTACCCAACATCATGATGACTCTCACAAACAATATGGAATGAGAAAAGCCCGACACAAAGAATACATAGAAACACAAGCATAATTAGTTTATCCTATTAGGAATTGAGCTAGTGATTACCTTGTGGAAGGGGCAAAAGGGTCTCTGGGTTTGTTTCTAGGTTTGGTTGGTGATAAAACTCTTCACTTTATGAAAACCCATTGAGCTGTATATTTATGGTCTGTAATTTTTCCTGTGTGAGTACTTCAAGAAAATTGAGTTTTTACTCACCACAACCTTTCAAGGCAACTCTTGCTACCTCCTTCTTTTGACTGGGGAAAATGTGACTCTGAAAACTGTTGTGGGCTGAATTGTGTTTCCCCCCCCAACCCCGCCTCAAAATTCTTATGTTGAAGTCCTAACCTCTAGTACCTCAGGATGCGACTGTTGGCAGCGAGGGGCTTTGAAAAGGTAATTCAGCTAAAATGAAGCCATAAACAATCCAATCTGATTGGTGTGCTTAGAAGAAGAGGATATTAGGACACACAGAGAAACAAATAGCCTGAGAGAGGCCCATGTCAGGGCCCAGTGAGAAGATGGCCATGTATAAGCCAAGGAGAGAAGCCTCGGGTGTAATCAAAACCTGCTGACACCTTGGTGAGCACAGTTTAAGAACTCTAGCCTCCAGAATTGTGAGAAAATAAATTTCTGTCATAGAAGATGCCCAGTCTGTGGTATTTTGTTGTGACATCCCTAGCCGACTAATATAAGAATTGAGGTTTTTTTTTTTTTCAATATCAAACATATATTACAGGGCTGAGCAGGATGTGAACATCCATCGTCTGACTTTAAATTGTATAGCTTCGCCAACACACCTGGTTTTTCATCTTTCCAGGGGAGACTGATGGTGCTGTGAGGCAGCTAAGGAGAGCACCATGTCAATGGGCCCACTGCTGCTCTCAGGAGGAAATATTTCTGGGCACCCAACAGGGCACGTGGCTGGCTCAGTTGGAAGAACATTCAACTCTTAATCTCAGGCTTGTGAGTTCAAGCCCCATGTAGGGTGTAGAGATAACTCCAATAAATAAATAAATAAATAAATAAATAAATAAATAAATAATAAATAAGAGCA